CCAATTTTGCAAATCATTAAACTTTATATGTGAAAAGCCCAAAGATGGAAAATTTACATATTGTTGCCAAAAGGGCAAGCTTCAATTAAAACACATAAATTTTCCAGAATTTCTTAAAAAATTATTTATGGGAAATGATGCTAAATTTAAGAATTTTAGGAATAATATTCGTTCATATAACAATTTAAAGCATATATAATTAATATACAGATAGATTTATTTGAGGCCCGCGCGAAGCGCGGGCCGAAAATATAAAAGCTTTGAGGCCCGCGCGAAGCGCGGGCCGAAAAGCTAGTATACATATAATTAGAAAATATTATTAGAATTAATTAATATCGCTAGGTGAAACAAGCCTCGCGTATCATTCGTGTATATATAAAGGATAAAGAATTTTACTTTATATATCCCAAGGGGCCTTAAAGGGCGTTTTTGAAGGGATGTACCCAACCCTAACCTCCAATTCATCCTACTACCTTACTGTTTCCTACTTTCCTACTTTGGACCAACGGTTTGGAAAGACGGAGCCCAGTTTTCTCCGCATCTGCACGGAGGGGCGCGGTTTTTTCGGAAATAGTTATTTGTGTAACAAGTGAGGTAAGATGAAAATTCCCGGGTGTGGAGTTTACGCACGAGCCGAAGGCGAGTGCGGTAACCGCACCCGGGAATTTTCATCTTTACACACGGCTTACACTCCCTATTTTATGTTGCAAGTGCCTGGAAAGTGGTCTATCACGCACGCGTAGCGTGCGTAATGGGGCACTTTCCATGCACGTGTTGCATAAAAACTTTTCCATGATTCATGGCTCTAGTGGACTCGAACCTGATTCCTCAGATTACGAGTCTGGCGCTCTACCACTGGACCACACCGCCGCCCTCATTCGTGTATATATAATAATATCCTTATCACATCTTACGTTCCAGTTAAAAGCATTCTATGTGGATCTGCTGGTGCCTCTGGAAACCAACCTGGAGAAGGACACGAAAGTCGTCCAGGTAAGTAAACTATCCCGGAAATGGTACCCGGAAGAAACATTAGTCGTCTCCGAATCTCGACTTCCGGTGACGCTGAATAATACAACGCTGGGAATGGACTTTCAGAGCGAACAGAAGAAGTTCCTTCAGCAACACAAGACCAGATCCGAGACGTATAGCAAGGCGGCAGCGACCATGAAGAAGCAGAGAAAGAAGTCCAGGGCGGCCAATAAAAGCGGTCTCGCTATGGACAAGGAGCTCAAGAACATGCAAATTCTCGAAGAGGAGAAGACTAAGCTCGACGCCTTCTGCGAGCAGAGTCTGAAGAATGTGAGTAACAAAATTGTCGAACTATCAATCACGTTGGGTTCAATCAAATTCTTCTATTACCAAAGCACATTTTCCAAAACGCCAACGTACATAATCGTGAGGATATAATGCAAGATCTTCTTTCGTGGTGGATGAACACTACTGAAAGTTAAATAGGGATGGCGGAGATGATGGATTACGCGATGAGATTCATTAACGAAGCAAGTTCATTAACATCCCGGAACCCTTTGTGCGTTCTTTTCACAGGCGATGACTCAGGAGAGACGGCGATACGGTTTCGTGCTGGAGCGACAATGCTCCTTGGCGAAGCACTATGCGAGTTTTCATGAGGTTGCATTGGCCGCGCTTCATCCCTCGGTTGATAAATGGCGCGAGGTTGCTGCCACCAGGGAATACTTGCCCCAGTCGGTGGAGGACATGTTCGCTTCCAGACTCAGGGTAAATTCACGCGACTGATCGCATGCAAATCTCTCAAGCTCCGCGTTCTCTGCGATTCATATGATTCTGATCGATCCGAAAGCGCGACAATTTATTCTTGCGAGTTTTGCTGTTATTTAATCGCATCATCCAACATACATTTAGCAAAGATTATAATAGATAACAATCCTAGGTAGCAGAGTGACGTCAAATGACGTATTAATTCCGTCTTAATGACGTCCTCTAACGTCATTAAGAGCCACTTTGACCAAACTCCGATTAACTTAATCGTTGATTAGTCCATTGGAAATGACCCATCGTATTTGCTCATTAAGCAGATTGACAAATGCGCGATTGGTCATTTCCAATGGACTAATTAACGATTAAATTAATCGGAGCTTGGTCGAAGTGACCCTAAGA